CTCCCGCTTGATACATAACATATACTCAAGGCTGAAGAGCCCAAAAAATGACGACAGTCACAAATTTGTGGATGACCCGCTCAGATTACGAACATCTGCTGCGGGCCCCATAAGGAGGAGGCTCCCGTCTGAGACTCCCTCCCAAATTACTCATAGACGAAGCTCCCGTTTGATACATCCTCCACATTCAGGCCTGAAGGGACCAAAAGTGACGACAATTAGCAATCCGCCGGCCCCCTTGCGGAGCCACCAGACTGTAGGCCGGGAATGTGCTGCTCCCTGTACCAATTGCAGCTTCCAGTTTCCACTGTTACAATTCTGCTTCTTGCTGCTTACTGTTCCTTGTTGATGAACGCGCGAGGGGGGGGAGCCCAAACCAGCAGAACTACCACGCCCTGGGAGGGTTCTCAGAATTTCTGGGAGTAAAAATTGACACCCCTCACGCAGATCCGAAGGGTCAGGGTCCAAAAGCACATGGGATTTGCCACATGTTTGAACTTCAGTGGCACCCCTCACGCAGATCGGCGGGGTCAGGGTCAAAAAACAACTGGGATTTGCCACATTTCTGGAATTCGGTGGCGCCCCTCACGCAAATCGGCGGGGTCAGGGTCCAAAAACACATTGGATTTGCCACATTCCTGAAATCCGGTGGCACCCCTCACGCAGATCGGCGGGGTCAGGGTCAAAAAACATATGGGATTTGCCACATTTCTGAAATCCGGTGGCACCCCTCACGCAGATCGGCGGGGTCAGGGTCAAAAAACGTATAGGATTTGCCACATTTCTGAAATTCGGTAGCACCCCTCATGCAGATCGGCGGGGTCAGGGTCCAAAAACAAATGGTACTTGCCACATTCCTCAAATTCGGTGGCACCCCTCACGCAGATCGGCGGGGCCAGGGTCCAAAAACACAAGGGATGTTTTACATTCCTGAAATCTGGTGGCACCCCTCACACAAATCGGCGGGGTCAGGGTCAAAAAACACATGGGATTTGCAACATTCTTGAAATTCGGTGGCACTTCTCATGCAGATCGGCGGAGTCAGAGTCGAAAAACAAACAGGTCCCGACACTGCTTCACGGCAGCGCCCAGACCTCATGATTTAGCTTTTGCATCTCCCATTATCCGAGACAAGGGGCTGGCGGCATGGGGCGAAGCCCTTACGGTATTTTTGGATGACCCGCTCAAATTATTAACATGAGCTGCAAGCCCCATAGGGAGGGGGCTCCTACAATTCACTCACAAACGAGGCTCCTGCTGGATACTTCCTCCGTCTTCAGGCCTGAAGAACCCAAAAATGACGAGGTATGACCCGCCCGGAATACGAGCATGAGCTGCAGGCCCCATAGGGAGGGGGCTCCCGCCTGAGACCCCCTCCCAATTCACTCATAGACGAAGCTCCCGCTGGAGACCTCCTCAAAATGAGTGTGTGTGAGAGAGAGAGACTGAGTGGCGGAATGCGTGCAATGCTGGTGATGGTGATGAATGTGGTGGTGATGACGACGAACGATGGCCGATGATCACGTTTGCCTGGTGATAGTGATGATAATGACGGGGGTGGTGTGGTAGTGGTGGCGATGACCATGATAGTGATGATGAGCTGATGATGATGGTAGCGATGACGATGATGGTGATGATGATGGGTGGAGAGTGGTAAGGGTGAGTGACTGAGCCGGTGAGTCATGACTGGGTGGACGAGTACAGATGATGATGCTTATGCGGATGCGGATGATAATGATGATGAGGATCATCTGGTGATCACGATCATCATGGTATGGTGGCAGAGACGATGATGACGATGGTGCTGTGATGATGATAGACATGATGGTGATGGTGATGGTTATCGTGATGAGTGTGATATGCGATGGTGAACGGAGAGGGTGGGTGCGAGGACTGCGCGGGGCGTCCAAGGGAAACAGGAAGCCCAGTCAGGATGTGGGGAAAGACAAATAACCACTGAAAACTTGTATGCCGCGGAGGGGGGGCGCCGACGCGGGGTGGGGGGGGCGCGGGAAATGGTCCAGTGGGTTGTCCCGTGGGTTGTCCCGCGGGGTGTCTTGTGGTTGTCCCGTGGGTTGTCCTGTGAATTGTACCGTGGCTGTCCCAAAATTATCAAATAGGTGGCCCCGTGGATTGGTCCGTGGGTTCTCCCGTGCTTGTCCCGTGGATTGTCCCGCGGGCTGTCCCGTAATTGTTCCGTGTGTTGCCCCGTTGCTTCTCCCGTGGGTTGCCCCGTGGGTTGCCCCGTGGGTTGCCACGTGGTTGCCCTCTGAGCGCCCCGCAAAATGTCCCCCCAGTTGTCCCGTGGGTCGTCCTGTCGTTGTGTCGTGTCCCGTGGGTTGTCCCATGGATTGCCCCGCGGACTGTGCGGCTCCGTGCTCGCCGTCGCCGCGCCGTCGCCGCCTCGTCGCCGCCCGTCGTCTGGGCGTGCGTGCCGGTCTGGCGGCTCCGTGTTTGCCGTCGCCGCCACGTCGCCGCCTCGTCGCTGCATTGCTTTGCATTGCGTTGCGTTGACTTGCTTTGCATTCCTTATCATTGCTTAGCATTGCATTGCATTGTCTTGCTTTGCGTTGTCTTGCGGTGCTTTGCATGGCATTGTCTTGCATTGCTGTGCTGTATTGCGCTGCGTTGCTTTTCGTTGCTTTGCATTGTTTTCGTTGATGTGCGTTGCATGCATTTCTTTGTCTGGAGGTGTATTGCTTTGCCTTGCTTTGTGCTGTGTTGCTTCAAATTGCTTTGCAATGTGTTGCTCTGATTGAACCAAATAAACTGCACCAACTAGTCTGCCCAACATATATTGCACAACGTATACTGCACAACACCACAGATTGCTCCACATAGTTCGCACATCATAGATTGCTCCACACATGTTGCACCGCGTATTGCTAGAAACGCACTGTTTGGGTAACCCGCTGGCTAATACAATATAAAGCAAACACGGAAAACGAATGTAGCTCTGTCGCCGATAGCATGATAAGATTCACACCAACCGATATGACAGTCCGAGAGATAACTACGGCATGCGTTTGTTGTGTACTCGATCATACCGGTATGCCACACATACATAGATTATCAGCAATATTCACGCAAACCTTCATAACTCAACTGTCCATCATCATTGATCCGTGGATTATCCCGTGGTTGCCAAAACAGTCAGCACATGCATTACCACCACCATCAACAAAAGCAACAGTCACCCACGCTTAGATAATGATGCAGCAGGGTTGGCAGATGAGCCGTCACACTGGTGGCTGAATAATTGGTTAGGAGGTCACGTGCATGGTGTAACAGAGAGGTGGGCAGCTAGATTGACAAACCGACAAGGAAGCCTCGCAAACCGAAAGATGCACCCGCCCACCTGCCCACCCACCCACCCCCACCATTTCTATGCCACCAGAAATCGCTTTATGAGGTAACTACTGCGCGCTGCAAGACAATAGTGCGATACGTGTTGCTACAAATTGTGGAGGGGGGAGGGCAGAAGGGAGAAGGAGAAGAGGGGGGGATCAGAAATTCGGACGGGGGCGTTGGGGTGGAAATCCCGCCGGCCCTCTGGACGCATGCGGTTTTGCAAGCTGGGTATTCCAGCCTCGTTCTTCCCCGTCGGGGAGGGCCTTGCCGGTCTCTTTCGGTATGAACAACCCCTCCTCCACTGGACCGGCCGCCGACCAGGAACCATGCTCGCAAACCCACATAACCACACACACAGACACACACGCATACACACACACACACCCGCGCGCGCGCCTGCCATCCCTGCCAGAGACAACAGCACAAAGTGCACGCGGCTGCAAAATGCTGCCCGTGAGCGGGCAAGCCGCGGTCACTTTCCATCGGTTGGACGGGGATGGTGGGGGGCTCATGCGTGCCCGCGGCGCGGACGCCCAGAAGCCGCATCCGAAGCCAATGCCAACTGACTGCGGGTGCTCATACATGCACCAAGCTGGCTACCCTACCGACACTTCGCACTGGCTTCTGACAAGAGAGTGGAGGGGGGTGTCGACATATTGCCCGAGGTGGGCCGCCGCGTGCACTGGCGCGCCTGGCGCGCCTGGCGCACCGGGCGCTGCGGGAGCGTGTGGCACACGCGGCGCACGCAAAGCACGTGGCGCATCTGGCGCACCAGGCACACGCAGCAGCAGATCAGAGTGAGGAGGGCGCCTCGGAAGGAGGGGTGGGGCTGGGAGAGGGGGGGGGTCCCCTTGCCCACTGGGGGGAGGCAGGGGGAGGGGTCATGAGCTCCCCTCGTCCACAGGGGTACCACCTTCCTGTTCCCCCCTTGTCCACCGGAGACCGCCCCCGGGACCCCCCATGCTAACCCCCCCCCCAGGCACGTGGCACGCCCGGTGCGCGTGCCACACCTACCGCGCGTGGCGCACCTCGCGAGCGTCGAACACCTGGCGCCTGCATTGGTTCCCAAACTTGTGTCCATCCGATGGCGACCTCTGCCCATGCTGAACCCGCGGTACTGTTTTTTTTTCCAGCGCGCACAAATTGTTAATTTCAGCGCGCACGATGTGTGAACTCAGCGCGCACGAGTTGATAAGAACCCGCGTACTGCTTGTGTGGTGAGCGGGCAGATGGAAGTGAGCGTGGCAGCTTGAGGCGTGCACATCCCCACTCCCCCCCACTCCACCCCCTCCACTCCAAAAACCCCCGCCACTCCTCCTCCACTCCACCCTTCCATCCGCGAGCCCCTCCACTTTCACCCCAACGCTCCCTCCAGGGATCTCGAGGGCTCCCAGATAGCCCTAAGAGCGCCCAAGAGCGCTTCAAAGTGGGCGAGGAGTATTTTCCTGGATCCAACGGGGAGGCCGTAACTGAGGCCCTCTCCATGTTTGGTCGATATCCACCGAAGTGGCCCAAGGATGGTCCCCAAGACCCCCAAGAGGAACCCAAAGACCCCCGACGGGGCTTTGGATAACCAAGACGACGACGGCGACGACGACGACGACGACGACCGACGACGACCGACGACTGCTCGTCTTGCCCCCGAGTTCCTCCAACAACTTCTGGGCCTCCAGCGGCTCTCCAGCCCTCATGCAGGCCGAGATCACCGTGGCGAATATCTGCTGGTCGGGCTTCCAGCCCAAGTTAGAGTGCTGCAGAGATCTCAGCACCTCCCGGGAGGCCCCGAGCACGGCAGGAACACAGGAGGAGGATTAGGAGGAGGAGGAGGAAAAGGAGGAGCAGGAGGAGGAAGGAGGAGGAGGAGGAGGAAGGGGGAGGAGGAGGAGGAGGCGGAGGAGGAGGAGCAGGAGGAGGAGGGGCAGGAGGAGCAGGAGGAGGATGAGCGAGGAGGAGGAGGAGCGAGGAGCGAGGAGCGAGGAGCCAGGAGCGAGGAAGAGGAGGAGGAGGAGGAGGAGGAGGAGGAGGAGGAGGAGGCCTGCGCGGGTCTCTTGGGGTGGAGGCTGCCGCGGGGAGGGCTGCCCAGCACCGTCCCCCAAGAGATTCGCACGGCCCTCCGCAAGTTGTGCGTGTGTGTGTGTCTGTCTGTGTGTCTGTGTGTCTGTGTGTCTGTGTGTCTCTGTGTGTCTCTGTGTGTCTCTGTGTGCCTCTGTGTGCCTCTGTGTGTGTGTGTGGTTGTGTGTGTGTGTGTGTGTGTGTGTGTGTGTGTGTGTGTGTGTGTGTGTGTGTGTGTGTGTGTGTGTGTGTGTGTGTGTGTGTGTGTGTGTGTGTGTGTGTGTGTGTGTGTGTGTGTGTGTGTGTTGTGTGTGTGTGTGTGTGTGTGTGTGTGTGTGTGTGATGTGTTGTGTGTGTGTGTGTGTGTGTGTGTGTGTGTGTGTGGTGTGTGTGGGTGTTGTGTGTGTGTGTGTGTGTTTGTGTGTGTGTGTGTGTGTGTGTGTGGTGTGTGTGTGTGTGTGTGTGTGTGTGTGTGTGTGTGTGTGTGTGTGTGTGTGTGTGTGTGTGTGTGTGTGTGTGTGTGTGTGTGTGTGTGTGTGGTGTGTGTGTGTGTGTGTGTGTGTGTGTGTGTGTGTGTGTGTGTGTGTGTGTGTGTGTGTGTGTGTGTGTGTGTGTGTGTGTGTGTGTGTGTGTGTGTGTGTGTGTGTGTGTGTGTGTGTGTGTGTGTGTGTGTGTGTGTGTGTGTGTGTGTGTGTGTGTGTGTGTGTGTGTGTGTGTGTGTGTGTGTGTGTGTGTGTGTGCTGCTTGCTTGCTCCCCCCTCGGCCTTGATGCAGCCCGACGAGTCCGCCTTCTTCGCCATCGCCTTGAGCGCCGCGGTGTAGTGCTCCTTCCTCGTGAGGACGCCCTCCTTGGTGATGTCGCGAAGCACCCGAGCGTACCTGCTGTCCTGCGTGTCCCTGCACATCGCCAGCGCGCCGAAGAGCCTGCGCCGCTGCTCGCTCGCCGCCTCCTCCTCGGCGGCGCTCCGCTCGGCGGCGCCACCTCTCGGAGGGCGCAGAGCCATGGTCTGGGGCCCTGCTCTTGCTCCTCGCTCCCCCATTGCTGGGATCCACTTCCGTGAGGAGGGAAACGGAACGGGAAGGGGTGCAGGGTCGCCAGGGGCGACGAGGAGGAGGAGGAGGAGGAGGAACAGGATGAGCACAGGAGGGAGGAACAGGAGGAGGAGGAGAATGAGGAGGAGGAAGAGAAGGAGGAAGAGGAACAGGAGGAGAGATAGGAGGAAGAGGAGGAGGAGGAGAAGGAGGAGGAGAAGTAGGAGGAGGAGGGGGATCAGAACATGATGGACCCACGAACCCGGAAATGGATGTAGAACCGCATGCATGGAAACGTTTTCACGACACCGTATTGGGCGACGGGCACTTCCACGAGACACCCCGCGAAACATTCCACGAGACACGGGCGACCGCGTTCAACGTTTTCCTGGAAACATTCCACGAGACACCCCGCGAAACAGTCCACGAGACACCCCACGAAACATTCCACGACGACAGGCAACCACTCAACCAAGGCGGTATGGTCGTGCTGGGGAGTGGTCGTGCTGGGGTGGTCGTGCTGGGGGGTGGTCGTGCTGGGGGGTGGTCGTGCTGGGGGGGTAGTCGTGCTGGGGGGTGGTCGTGCTGGGGGGTGGTCGTGCTGGGGCGTGGTCGTGCTGGGGGGTGGTCGTGCTGGGGGGTGGTCTTGCTGGGGGGTGGTCGTGCAGGGGGGTCAACACACGAAAGAGCGGCCCGCACCCTGTGATTTATCGATCGGGATTTCAAAAACAAGCGTTTCGCCTGAGACATCCTCAAATTTTAATCCGCCGGCCCACCTCAACCTCGATATTTATCAGGGAAAGAATCCGCCAGCCCACCTCAGTTGAGGCACCGGGGACAGATTACCATCCTAAAAGAGAACCCTGGGCCTACGCCCTTTCCGGGAAAAAGGAGGGGGAAAAGGAGCAGAAGGAGAGATAGGAGGAGGAGACGGAGGAGGAGGAGGAGGAGGAGGAGGAGGAGAAAGAGGAGGAGAAACCGAGGGGGTGGTGGGGCGAAGGGATGGGGCGCGAGCGAAGGAGACAGAGAAGTAACTGCGAGACATGGCCAACAGCTGGCACCGTCCAGGCGACACGGGCCGCAAGTGCCCCACGCAGCCGTGCGGAAGGCCCCCTCCTCCCATCCCCATCATTCTTCTGCGGCTCCTCCTCCGCTTGCTCCCTCTCCCCTGCTGAGGTGTTCTTACAGGCGAGGCCGCCCCGAGTCACCGAGGGGCTCGGGCAAGGCAGACGCCTCTCCTGCACCCCGCAGACCAAAAAGGAAAGCTCACGGAAAGCCCGACTGTGGGCAAGGGCCCGCCCCCTATCGGGGCCCCGAACCGCAGGGCCTCCTGCTCCGGCTGCAGGCGCCACGGCTTCCTCCCGCGCGCCGCCCGCGGGTGGATCTGGCTGTTCCTCGAGGGGCCCGCGGCACGAGGGAGGAGGAGGAGGAGGAGGAGGAGGAGGAGGAGGAGGAGGAGGAGGCGGAGGAGGAGGAGGGGAGGAGGAGGAGGGGGAGGAGGAGGAGGAGGAGGAGGAGGAGGAGGAGGAGGAGGAGGAGGAGGAGGGAGAAGGAGGAGGAGAAGGAGGAGGAGTGAGGAGGAGGAGGAGGAGGTGGAGGAGGAGGAGGAGGAGGAGGAGGAGGAGGAGGAGGAGGAGGAGGAGGAGGAGAAGCAGGAGCGCCCGTAGCAGGAGGAGAATAGAGGAGGAAGCCGACGGCCACGATGGCGAAGACGAGGGCGACGAGGACGGCCGAGAGGAGGTAGGAGGAGAGGGGAGGAGGAGGAGGAGAAGGAGGACCTCCCCCTCCTCCTCCTCCTCCTCTCCTCCTCCACCTCCTCCTCCTCCTCCTCTCCCTCTCCTCCTCCCTCCTCCTCCTCCTCCTCCTCCTCCTCCTCCTCCTCCTCCTCCTCATCATCATCATCATCATCATCATCATCATCATCATCATCATCACCATCATCAGCAGCAGCAGCAGCACAGCATCCGCCCTCTGCCTCCTCCTCCATCCTCTCCCCTTCCTCCTCCGTCACCCCCCTTCTTCATCTAGCCCGTGGTGGGCCCAATAAACATATATCCCCCGTTTCCCTCTGCTCCTCTTCGTCTTCCTCCTACTCCTCTTCCGACTCCTCATGTTCATGCCTCTCCTCATCCTCCTCCTCCTCCTCCTCTTCCTCCTTCTTATCCTCCTCCTCCTTCTCCTTTTCCTCATCGTCCTCATGATCCTCTTCCTCCTCCCCCTCCTCGTCAATTCCGTTTCCTTGCAAAGACCTCCTCCCTGTCGCACGCCCCAGCTTGTCGGTAGAGCAGGCCGCGCGTTTCGCCTGAGGTCTTCTCACTATTGATGCGGATCTCGCCAGAGCGCCGCGCACACTCGCCCTGCACGGTTACAGTCGGTTCAAAGACGAAGGGTGGTGACTTTCAAAATGTGGCTCCCGCCTGCGCGCCGTGCACAGACGGATCAAAGATGTCTGGCGGTGACTTTCAAAGTGTGCCTCGCGCACATGCGCCGCGCACGCTCGTTGCAAAAGCTTCCGGCCGATTCGAGGGTGGAGGGCGGCTGTCAAGCAGAGGCGCTCGCCTGAGGGCCGCGCACATTCGTCTTAGAATATCGCAACAGCTTCAGAAAAATGGAGGGGGGGGTCGTTTTTCAAAATGCGGCTACCGTCGCAGCGCCGCGCACATTTGTCGAAATCTTGCAACCGAAGAATGGAGCACTGGCTGTCTCCAAAGTGAGGCTCTCGCCTTAGCTCGCACGAGTTCATGCACAAAGTTTGCAACAGTTTGAAAGATGGAAGGATAGGATGTTCTGCCAGCCCTCTGGGCGAAAATGGTATACCGAAATTGCTTTTCCCATCTTCCAGAACCCCTCCGCCCGTCAATCGGGCAGGTGTTCACCTTTGCTCCATATTCATACACAAACCCTCCCACATCAGACAGGCGAAGAACCTGGCCCAACGCCAATCCCCCCGCCACCCCTTTCAAATATCCATACAACATGCATTTTGAGGCAAAATCTGAATCATGTTCGGGCGCATCGCGATCAATGCATTATGCGTTTGACATGGACGAAAGTGGAATCATCGGAAGCTGGGAAGTGAGATCGCAGCGGAACGGAGAGCCACCTGCCTGGAAATCGGTTCCGGTTTCGTGGCGTGCGCGTGGGCGAGGCGAAGCTGCGTGGGTGGGCGGGAGGAATGATCCCGCTCTGGCTAGGGCGAAACCGGGCTCAATTTTGGGTGACCCAAAAGGGGGTCCAGCTGGAAGGGGGTGGTGCAATAAATGTGGTGCAAATGTATTGCGCTGGAGAATTGTATTGCAATGTATTGCAAGTAATGTCTTGCACGCGAAAATCCGGCAATGCATCTGCGCCACGGAATGTATTGCACGCCCCAAATGTATTGCAACCCAACAAATCTATTGCACCAAATCTACTGCACCCTCCCGTTGTCGCTGGACACCCTTGTGGGTCAACCCGATCAATGTCTCTCCTCCCCCTGGTTGGCCAGCGGTGGCCCGGGGATGCCCCGCCGGTGTCCGGTGGTGTCCGTTGGCGTAACGTGGCGCGGTGCCCCGTGGTGTCCCGCGGTGGCCCGTGGAGGTCGATAGTGAAATCGGTTGTGGGATCGATTGGGTGTGACCAATAGTGGGATCGGTAGTGAGATCGATAGTGAGATCGATCATAACATAGACAGTGAAGTCGACGGTGAGGTCGATAGATGGTGATATCGATAGATAGAGGAAAATGTATCGTGACATCGATTGTGTGATTTCCCAACCCTCCTGCCTTGGGTAGTCGTTTTGAATAGACCGCACACCTGCCGCCCCCCTCTTTTCTCATCCCTGCTGCCTTTTACCTCGATCCTTCCTGCCAGCCAGCTTGCCTCCTACCTGGTCATCTCTGTGGGGCTGCGATCTGCGAAACTGTCGCCACTTTCGAGTCTTGCTGGGGGTTCAGCGGAGTGACGCAGACTAGACCTCGCCATCCCTGGGGGGCTGCGATCTGCGAAACCATCGCCACTTTCGCGGCCTGCTGGGGGTTCAGCGGGGCGAGGCACCACCCAGACTCAAGATTGGATCTCGCCATCCCTGGGGGGCTGCGATTTGCGAATCGGTCGCCACTTTCGAAGCCTGCTGGTGGGTCCAACGGAGTGAAGCACCACCTAGATTCACACTAGACGCCGCCATCCCTGGGGGCCTGCGATATGCGAAGTTGTCGACGCTTTCGATTGCTAGGGGGTCCAGCGGCTCGAGGCGCCATACAGGTTCAGATTAGACATCGCCATCCCTTGGGGGGCTGCGATCTGCGATACCGTCGCCACTGTCGAGGCTTGCTGGGGCCCAGCGGAGTGAGGCACCACCCAGACTCAGGCTAGACCTCGCCATCCCTGGGGGGCTGCGATCTGCGAAATGTTCGCCACGTTCGAAGTTTGCTGGGGGGTCAGTGGAGTGAGGCGCCACCCCGACTCAGATTTAACCTCGCCGTCCCTGGGGGGCTGCGATTTGCGAAACTGTCGCCGCTTTTGAAGCCCACTGGGGGTTCAGCGGAGCGAGGCAATCAGCGAAACGGTTGCCGTTTCCGAGGCTTGCTGGGGGTCCAGCGGAGCGAGGCACGACCCAGACTCAGCTTTGACCTCGCCAGCCTTAGGGGAGCTGCGATCTGCGAAATTCTGTCGCCACTTTCGAGGGTTGCTCGGGGGTCCAGTGGGGCGCTGTCGCGGGCCGCCCGCCGACCTGGCGGCGCGCCTTCGAACGCTTAGCTCCCGCACTGGAGGGTCCAGGAAGGAAGCAGGGACGCTGGCGCGCGAGCCAGGCCTCGCTCGCTCCTTGCACCAACTACTGACTACAAGCAGGCGTAACAATTTTGTCGAGGGCCGCGGCGACATTGCGCAGGCAGCGCTGCATCCTTAGCGCACTACCTACGGACACAAGCGACACTCTTCGGTCGCTTCCCGTCACTTCCTTCGTCGTCCTCTGCCCCCTGCCACCTTCCCTCTGCTGCTGCCGCGCTGACTGTTCGGCCCCCCACGTGCCCTTCTCCTGCCTCTCGTTCCCGCCGGCATGTCCTCCTCAAGCCTGGGCCCTCGCCCCTCCTCCTTTTTTGTTGTTGTCCTGTGAACCGTGCCAGAAAAGCGCATCCCATGTAACTTGCATAACGTATACCAGCGCCTGCACTGCCATTGTCCAGGCAAATGCGGGCCTACTCATCTTGCGACTTGATACTAAAAAATCTGGGCACGTCAGAGGGTATTTTCCGTGTTCCGTGATGTCGCGTGGTGCCCTATGGCCTCCAATGTTGTTCCATGGTGCCTCGCGGTGTCTCTTTTCGACAGATCGATAATGAGAATGGCGATGGCGGTGGTGGCATGTATCCTCCCCCTCCGCGGTCACCCTTTTCTGGCCCTCCCCCACTCTTGCATGCGGGACAATTCGCAACGCCGTATGCGCGCGATCGCGGTGGTGACGCAATCACCGATTGGCAGTGACACTGATAGATTGTGGGATCCATTACGAGACCGATCGTGAGATCGCCACGCAGATAGTGGGATCGATTGCACGGTGGATACTGAGACCCATGGAACGTGAGAATTGTATATAGAGGGTTGGTCGCGATGGTGCCATTTACTGTATTCTCCTCAGCAGTGTCTTCAGGTGCTCCGTCCGATGGTGTTTCGATGGTGTCCCAATGGTGTCCCAATGGTGCCCCAGTGGTGCCGAAGTGGTCTCACCATCTTCCGTCATCACGCATCGTCGCCGACTCGTGAGCGCATCACCCGCAATGTCACCATCACAATCGTCATAGTTACCACCGGCTGACCCCCCCGCCCACAACCTCCTTGTCACCTGAAGGGTGGCCGTATGGGTATTGCCCCACGTGTGCCGGCCCACCATGACTGCAAAAAGCCATGCAAAGCGCACGCAGCGGCAAATTATTTGCCGCACGATCTTGACAGGGATAATGGGGGTGCCCTGGCACGCGCGGCGCACCTCGCGGGCGTCGCGCACCTAGCCCGCGTCTGCACTGGTTCCCGATGGTCGTCGACGACGGCCCCCCTGTGCATGCTGGGGTTCGGGTGCTACTTGTGTCGGGAAGGCGGGGGGAAGTGAGCGAGACGGCTTGCGGCGTGTGGGCAACTTGACCACTGCTCCTCATGAATACCCCTCTGGGTTTCTTGGAAAGCATGGGGGGGGGGACCCCCCGACGGGGGTCAACCTCGCCTCGTCGTCGCGCCGCGACGGGGGTCGGAGCGCCTTCGGCGCGCGGTGGCTGCCCACGACGGGGGTCGGTGTGGGGCTGTCGGCGGGGGTGACGCCCCCCCGACACTTATCAAGAAACTCGGAGTAGACCACGGCCAATGATGGCACCCCCACGCCATCCCTTTCAAAAAACCATGCAACAGGCATGTGCTGCCAAG